AAAAAGAGTGGTTATCCTTACCTTCCAAAAGAGACAAAATATGTGCGAACAGTAACAATAACTAACACTGGAAGTTTGTCATGAAACGGTATTAATTGAAATCCTTAAAAATAAGCTATGAAATTCATGCACATTTGATGCACAAGAAGAAGAAGAAGAAGAAGAAGAATGTATTTTTACTTCCAACAAAAAAGTTTTTTCTAAGAAACTGAAATCTAGTGTTTTGTCTTCTGTAAAACAATCATAATTTTAGATATTTAACTGTAGAGTATGGTGGGAACGTTATCGAAAACAGTTGTTCTCTCTCTGATATTCTTTGTTCTTGAAAGAACTGAGCACTGAAGTAACTATCAATATAGATAATAGCTCAATCTATCCTAAACCATCAAATTCTTGATCGATATTTTATCAAATAAAGAAGATCAAAATACCGAAATCAGTAAGACGAATCTATTGGAACAGTGAATGTCTAAAAAACTCGGAATATAAAACAAAGTAGAATTAATAACTCGAAATCAAAACAACTTATCATATAGTGATCTTAATATTTTGATGTGGCCGGGTGTTTTCAAACATGTCGAGAGTGAGACAGTCGTTATTAGTGTGATATTGGATAATAGGCTGGAGTAAAACTCATGTACCATTGATTATGAATCCAGTGTAGTAATCGTTAAGGACAATTCCGGTAGGCTTTAAATTCGATACTTCGTGGGTTCGTACATGCACAATACTGAGGAGCTTCATAACAGGGTAAACAGCTAGCTTTCTACATTTCAATTTTAATCCTTCTCTAGTGTATTTCATGCTATATCTTGTCTGTTCAATGAAACAATTTAACTATTAACGAGAAAGGAATGAGTTCACATGTGACACACCATTTAACATTTATCTTAAAATAAATTTGATCATTTCTTTTGATTTTTGTCATTTAATATTGATAAGTAGATGAGTAGGTAAATAAGATCGCGTTATATATTTGTAAACAAAGTAAAGTCTAACGACTTTATATGTAATAACAGCTGTTGATAATTAGAATTTTATTCATTATTATTATTATTTATACTACTGTTATTATTATTATTACTGTTATTATTATTATTATTATTCTTACTTCATTTTACATTCATTTTATAAATAAGTCCAGATAAGAAATTATCCAAACGTGTACAATAATCATTGAAGCTGTAAAGGTTTGTAATTTTCTGTTGTTGATATTCAGGACTGAAAACGATTAACTAATGTTGCTGCATATGTACAATGAAGTGATTGCTTTGATACAACCTGCAGTTACAATGGAATTCAAGAAGCGCATCTCATTTCGTCTTAAAACTTCGTTAGCCGAATGTACATGCGTTTCAGTGTTGATGTTCACACTTAAGACCCGAACCCGGTACATTTTTCTTCAAACGCCGTTTTATCCACCAAGCTACCAAGTCCGAATACTAAATAACAACAGAAACTGATCAATTGCAGTCCTAAATATCGACAACAGGAAATTACAAACCAATACTAATCGATGAGGGTAGTTTCTACATTGCAAATCAGTTGCTAATTGACTCAAAGCTTAATGTGTTACTAAAAGGCTGGATGTTCAAACCATATCATTCTGCCTTCTAATTTGGATAGTGCACAAACTGACAGTATAAGTGTATAAATTGAGACTGAGTACATAATCCTATACTTGGATAAATGATTTCTACATTGGATTAAACTAAAAATCAGTTAAGGGATAACATGTTAAAAGTAACCTATAGTAAAGACCTATGTATGACAGCGACTAGATTTCTCGTAATATAATGCTGGTGATTTTTTAATCCAGCCATATTTAAATAAACAGTTGTATGATCTAGTCCAAGTGTCGGTTATTTCGCCTAGATTACTTACATAGGTACAATGACACATCGATGGTGAAATAACAGCCGAGAGTAACACTTAACAGCCATTGATTCATAATGCAGTTCTCCCGTGTTCGCTCACTCGGTAAGCAGTCTAGAACAATAACAGATAGTCGAACAATGAAGCGCGTATTTGAAAAAAAGGGAGTGAAGAAAAATAAAAGAACAAGGAGCAAGTAGAATAATAATGAATAAAATCGTGTATTAATGTTAATTCGGCCAGGGAAGAGACAAGAATGTTACGAATTTTTTATAAACACAAAGACTTGGATTGTTAGCTCAAATCCCTATAGCTTCTGCTATGTGTAAGAGAGGAAATCAAACCCCATAAAATCAGCTAGTATGTATACGATAAATTGCTATTTATAAACTATTTCTATGACCGCTATTGATCAAGTGTGATAAAACAGCTGTTTGTTGTTTTTATTATACCCTTTCCTAACCGCGAAGGGATCTTGTCGTATTATTAAATAAGAGAGTAAAGCCTGATGATGATCTAATTGAAAACAATATTGGCCGCCGATACATGATATTTTAATCCGCTACATGGGAATTTTTAATATCTTAAAGTCACATGAAGATTGTAAGCTAGGCAAGCAGACTATAACGAGTAGTTGAATTTTCCACCTACTCATGATCACCGTCTATTTATCTTTGTCTGAATCAATCCAGTTACATAATTATTGCAGATTATAATTCAGCCTTTTGTATTAAAACTTCCTAAGGAGCCTTCTGAAGGGACTATAATCTATGGATGAACCAATGAGATTTAAGATAGCAGGTCTTGAATGTCATAGCTAAATTCTTTCATCCATAAGACTTCTTAGCATTTCAACTTTATGGCTGATGTCATTTCGTGATGACAACCCTAATTCTAAATCCTAACCCTAACTCAAAACCTTAATCCTCATTCCTTAGACTCACTTCTAAGTCTCTTATGACCCAAGTAGGTAGGTAAATATTCTTATGATCAATTTAGCATCGCTCGACGGTTGTCCAAAAATTATACTCTCACCGAATTATATATTCGGATTTGAACTATATTTTTGCATGTGTGAGCTAATGAGAGTAGTCAACTGTTTAAGAGTGACTATAAAACAAAACGATGATTGAGGCTTGTCGTTAGTACTCGCCAATGATTCCACATAACATCGAACTCATTACCTATGAATCTTAAGATTAATCACTGAATTAAAATTTAATAAACCACATTGTCAATCTCATTCATTTCTCTAATTCCGTAAATTCATTCAATTTATCATTCCCATAAGCTACAATCTATTCAACTAAAACAATGTTTCTGAAAAAGTACATTCATTACATCCGAAAACGAATACTTTCTTACTGTAGAATATTTTTGTAATAAACTGAACAGGTTGAAAAGCTAACATCGAATTCTATTCATAGAATCATTTCAGGGCTATATATAATCGTTTGTTTATTACACATAAAAATTAACCAGTGTAGTATGTAATTTAACAAGTACGTAATGTTACTATTTATTACTACATTTTGTTTGTGACCTTGTATATCAATTTGTTTATATGTAGGATACCTTTTTCGGTGTGTCGTTGTGATTACTATTGAAATCTACACAAGTAACAACACAGTTTTTTTTAAACGGGAGATGCACATTATAATAAGCAAATGATTTACATATATAAATGTGCATTGATAATATTCGAGTGAATTAGTGTATTAAACAGATTTCTACAGATACAACACAAATCACTAATTAATACGATTATTTATTTCTCATCTGTACGTTGTCTTGCTGAGTGACAGGTGTATCTGATGAAAACAGTTAGCTTGACAATAGAAAAAATTAATAGACAGTAGGAATAGAATCTTTACATCTGTTCATGAGATTTACACACAGGAAAATATTAATGATTATCCCAAGATTTCATATTTGGTGCTAGATCTGAAAGTCTTAGATGTTAAATGTACTTGTACTCATGCGTTTAGTTTCTTGTTGCTAAATGTCAGTTCCTTTCTACAAAAGATAACATGGATAACATTTTTCTAACTCATATTACCTCAATGACCATTCGATTATCTAATTGGCTGTTGTAATTTTTAGTTTGCTTATTTTATGGATGTTAATTATATGAACAGAGTTGCTCCATTTCAGTTCTTATGTTCATAATATAAGGCTATTCTGAAAGTCTCGTATTCTCTTTCTGTTCAAGGTTTAAAAGAGGAAGGTTTCTATGGGCTAGAATGTAGGAATCTATGTTTAAGTTCAGAAATGATCAATATTCTGTCTGTTTCCCCCTACGCATGATAGTTGTTGACTAATCATCAAATGTGAATAAAATCAATATATAAATGAGTATGTTCCCGATCATTTTGATTTATCTGGGAGTTAAATAAAAGTGCAACACCAGTCTTTGTTTGGTTTTCATTACGCAACGTTTGATTCGAAGTCTCACTCTCAAAAACAAGCCAGTTAAAATAACTGCGGAGAAAACAAAAGAAATTCAATGACACTAACTCTAAATCCTTAATCCTAATTACAAACGCTCTATAGCCGAATAGATGAAAATTTATGTCACTTTCTTTTCGAATACCAAGCAAAACAACTGGCAGAATACGTCAAAAGTTTGAATAATCATGCAAAATTTGTTGATGTTTCGTGATAATACTATTGTTATTTCCACCAACAATTTATTTAACAGGACTGTTTTCTAAATCGCTAATAACCTGCTTAAACCAACCGACGTTATTTAAAGAATCATTGTTGTATCGCATTTGAAATCTTACACTATCAACTTCTAGTTTCGATTAACAGATTGTCCGAATCTCACGCTTATGTTATATCTGATTATTGTCGGTTGCTTTTTTCTTCAATTTAAGTACATACTACACGTTCATCTAGTCGTCGGCTCACCTTTTTTCTAACACTCTCCTAGCACATAAAGTATTTTTTGGGCTAAACTAAAACCTTACAAAGGCTGAGCGTTACACTGTAGCTCGCTACTAAACTACTACTACTAGGAATGAAAAAAATGTTTCCTGTTCTCTGTATAGTGATCATACATTTTGAGAATGTAGATAAATATCATATGGTTATAATAAGAGTTAACAACATGGAAAACTTACTGTCGTTTATGTAAGAAAAAACTAGCAATCTGTAATGCGATTACTCCAACAATTAAAATGATTACACCAAGCCATAATAAAACACATGTTAACTTTTTATTCATTAACCACTGAAAATCTTGTAATTTCATCTCATCTGAATGTGTGCCAATCGATTCTCTTGGTACATTTGACAGTCTATAAGTATTATTAGACGATGGTAATATATCATCATTGAACTTTTCAACTAAGTCCTTTGTGCCAAGATGAAATTTATAAAAATATGGACAATTTCCGTAATTTTTAATTGTATGTGGTGGTTGTAATTGAATTTCTGGAATATATTTTGCTAACTGTGAGCAAAATGTACGTAAACGTTCATAAGGTGTTCTTATGGACATGATTATTTCGTTTGTATGCTAAGTAGGGAACTGATAACACAAAAGATAATTTGAATTGGCTTGTTTAAATATTGTGAATTTCACCGGAAAAATTTATACAATTGATTGATCCACTATTTAAGCTTGTTTTATTATTCAAGCTACCATAGGTAGAAATGACAAAGAAGAAATACATCAGATACTTAATGTATAAATGTTTAAGTGAATGAATAAATAATCTTTAAAATGAACAAAAAGGAAACATGTAAATTTAGGTTTCTATCCAAAACTCTTTTTCTTAATTCCTTAATTTAGCACACAATATATGTGCAGATTTGCAAATTAATAATATGATTGATTAACCGTTAGTTGATTCGAAATTACTTAGCAACCAATCAAATCTATTCTTCACAGTTTGAACAGGGGTTATTTTTTAGAGAAAACGAACAAATCATGTTAGTAGTATATGTGTTTAAAATGTTGGAAGATCGAGCTGTAGTGAAACTATGTGATATTGTTAAGCCGACCACAATCACACTCATGAGTTTTAAATTTTAATGTGAAATGAGGAATGTCACTTCAGTTTGTATTCACCCTATAACTATCTTGGTAGAAGATATCTTCATTTAGAGACCCATTCCTTTAAACCAGTAAGAAAACGTCTGTTGCTTCAGCATACAGTGAATGTGAGATTGTGTAAAAGCAGATTCACGCAATATGCTTACTCCTTCTGACATATGGGACGAGCCAATAAGCATGGAGAAAAATACTTTCGAGTTCATTTTGCAAGACCAAAGAATGAATGACTATCATGGGTTTCATGTAAAATGACTCAGTAGATAACGAGTTGGGTGTTTAAAGCGAAAGATACCAGTTTTGAACTTCAGTGAAAATATCAGGACTTGGATAAAGTCACATCCAACTGACGAGTCGTGTTCAGAACGAACCGCGTATCTTGGATTCCACTGAAGGCCACTATTCATTATTACTGAAAACTTATTACTAATTGGCAACATTGAGACGGTTCACTTAGTACATATGACAGCTCATATTGATCAAATTCAGTCTTTAATATCACCAACAATAAAATACCAACAGTTATAACCATCCTTATACTTCTAACGGCACTCAAGATCACTAAATTCATGATCAATCTCCTTCTTCAATACCTGTTATTTATCCTACGTTGACTTTCAACTCTAGAATTCCTCTTTTGACTTCTTCTTCAAATATCACCATGGCCAACGATTCCAGTGCGCGAAATATTGTCCCAAGTCTACTGAAACCTCTCTCCAGACTACACGTTGGTGCCTTCAACGTACGTACCCTATGTCAAATCGGCCAGCGATTCTCCTTGGCTAAGACCCTACAATTTCATACCATTGATGTATGCTGTGTCTCCAAAACAGGCATACAGGATCCTAGTGTGGTCTTTCACTTAACCTCATCTCGCCAAAATGAGGAGCCGATGAGATACACCCTTCGTTCATCTGGCGATCAGATGGCTAGTTCGAATGAACTGACGGGTGTAGGCATAGCATTAAATACGAGGGCAGAACAAGCACTGATTGACTGGAGGTAATCAAGAGTTTCTCCAGGTCGTTTTAGAAATCACATAATCATCCGTTCGGTCAAACTTCACATTCTTGACTTTTTCTTCACATGCTGAGATCATCTGACAAACTAATTAAAGACATCTGAGTAATAGTAACTCATCCATGGGCCCGCATTGGGTGGGGTTTCATGATCACCACGATTATGCTTGAACGCTGGATTGAATGTATGTCATTTAAGTCAGCTCGTGATGCATGCAATAAAACTAATTTATAACAGGTCGTTAAGTATCGACAGATACTTTAGTTATTCCACATTATCTATCTATCTATCTATCTATCTATCTATCTATCTATCTATCTATCTATCTATCTATCTATCTATCTATCTATCTATCTATCTATCTATCTATCTATCTATCTATCTATCTATCTATCTATCTATCTATCTATCTATCTATCTATCTATCTATCTATCTATCTATCTATCTATCTATCTATCTATCTATCTATCTATCTATCTATCTATCTATCTATCTATCTATCTATCTATCTATCTATCTATCTATCTATCTATCTATCTATCTATCTATCTATCTATCTATCTATCTATCTATCTATCTATCTATCTATCTATCTATCTATCTATCTATCTATCTATCTATCTATCTATCTATCTATCTATCTATCTATCTATCTATCTATCTATCTATCTATCTATCTATCTATCTATCTATCTATCTATCTATCTATCTATCTATCTATCTATCTATCTATCTATCTATCTATCTATCTATCTATCTATCTATCTATCTATCTATCTATCTATCTATCTATCTATCTATCTATCTATCTATCTATCTATCTATCTATCTATCTATCTATCTATCTATCTATCTATCTATCTATCTATCTATCTATCTATCTATCTATCTATCTATCTATCTATCTATCTATCTATCTATCTATCTATCTATCTATCTATCTATCTATCTATCTATCTATCTATCTATCTATCTATCTATCTATCTATCTATCTATCTATCTATCTATCTATCTATCTATCTATCTATCTATCTATCTATCTATCTATCTATCTATCTATCTATCTATCTATCTATCTATCTATCTATCTATCTATCTATCTATCTATCTATCTATCTAGGTGTTATCACTGTGAGCTGTTAATCTGAGAACTAACAGTTACCCATTATTCTTTGATTCTGTGTTATCTGTGAGGTCATATTAAAATGTGCTTGCACCAAGAATGTAAGGTTCTGTGTTCAGTCCTTGATGATGCATTGTGATTTTTCCCTACTACTGGTTTCCATAGTAGGACAAGGTAGCTTTCCTGTCCTTCCTACTTTTTAATATTTTTCTAACTAAAGTTTCTCCCTAATGTAAAACACAGATTCACTTTGTCGTTAAAAATAATTTTTATTTAAATGACAAGTGAAACTGAGAGTAACCTGAATTATTTTTAAAATTAGATATACGTAAAAGTTAGTTAGAGGGGGTTTTCAGAGTCCGATAGAATTTGCTGGTTGCTTTTATTTGGGATATCATAAAATGTTAGTAAGCGCTACATAAGTATTTCGCTGTAGTATGATATTCCTCAGCAGTGTGCACGCATGATCCAGCTAGGGGATGAACCCACTACTTTCAGGCCTATCAACAAGAGACCGACTTTCGGTTCACCAAGTTGGCATGTAATAGAGCTCACTGTCAGACCGGAAGTCCTTGTGTACAACCGTGGATAGGTTACATTGCTAGAGAGTTCCATAATAACTCAAAACAGCTGTTCAATGTCCTCTATTTTTCAATGATACTCAAACTGAGATCGGTCTGTGCTCAGCACAACCTACATATGTGAAAATCGGTCTAACTTCAACTTAATTCATCAGTTTGTGATTGCGACCGACCAGTGGACTTTCGAAATAGGAATCGTTTGCACAAAATATATTGTTCTGTTTTTTTTTAAAATTTTTACAAGATTAAATTACAGTTACTAATCGAATAATTTAGTCAAAATTCATTGCAGTCGCATCAGTGTGTATCTGTTTTTATTTCATTATGAAAATGTTGAATAATCTGTTTGGTCTATTCTTCCTTATCTTCATCAGTTTAATCATTTCATATTCATTTTTAATTTTGCGAATATCTTCCTTTCTATCGATTTTTCATTTACGTTTATGTGTGTGTACGTATGTAAATAGTGTTATCGAAAAGTGTAAAATGGGTTGAATCGAAGCACTTTAATATATGTAAAAAAATCTGTTCTTCAAGGTTATTTTAATGGGAAAGGGGGTTGTTATACGTTTTTAGAAATATCCAATTAGTAGTATATTTTCAGATTATGATGTAAAAATCTTGTGTATTTTTGATTATCAAATGTTTTTATGTAATAAATTCCAAAGTGAAGCAATAATAGTTTCAGGATCATTTTAAAGAATACATGCTAGATAGTACTGTATAAACACAGGAAATCATGAGCATGAATCGTAGAGACGTCTTAAATGTTATTAATTTAGCTGTTTGGTGATTATTGATGTTCAGTGATCCTCCATATTTGAAACCCTTGAATATTCCTTCATAAAATCCTCAGAATACAGGCAAATCTCGATAATAATTTAATCAATCAGCACTTCTTAGAAATTCCCATGAGAATTCTAGAAAACAATGGATCATGTATTTATTATCTTGATTACGAACAACCGAATTTATAACAACTTTAGTAAGTTTCCCATAAGCGTTTACTGTCTCGTAGTCGAATATAATTCTATCCTACCTTCAAAGCAATGCTTCTTCCATATTTCTATCCTTCTTTGCCCGGGTTCAAAAATAGAAGATTTCTGGGGACTAGGAAGTGATTAAGAAGTCGGTGTTGAGGCTTTCATTACAATAAGTATCATTTCAACTGATTTCAGTTTATCAGGAATATTGGATCTTAAATGGTTCACCTTAGTTAACTGATCAGTATCGATATATGCAAATGAGCACTTGGGAATATGGTTTGAATTAACACGTGTTTTTACCAAGCATATCAATGAGCCAGAAGTGATGTAGTAAAATCTGATGACCTTGGGATATTTCAAAATCTTTCGGATATTGATTTACATGATATCCGTTGATAAAAGCAGATTTGTGTATAGGGAATCGGACAAAAAATTGTTTGATTGTTAACACTTATTCAAGTATAATATACAACCTGAGTAGTACAAATAAGGTGAGAGGTTATCCACCGGTTTATACTTATTAAAAAGAATCAGCATCCCAACTAAAGTTATTTACGCAACTTCTAAAGGTATATCATTTATTTTAAGAATGTTTTCGTCATAAACTTATGTAAATACGTGCAAAGAATCATTAAAATGTAAGCCGTATTGAATATGTGTTTTGTCTTCTTGTGGGACTCAACAATAATACTTGGCCAGAAATGTCAGGCCTTACGGAAAACATGATGCTACTGAGCTACTAACTTTTGAAATAGAATAGTTTAGACGTTTAGCTGCAGGCAATTTATAATGTATAAATAAGTTAATCTATTTGTAATATCCCAATGAGTAGAAAAACTAGATTTTCTGACGTTTCGTGATTCAGTGTATGCCACTTCCTCAGAGAATAAATAACTCCATCGTCGGAAGTTTCTTACATACACTGGTAACCCATTAGTAACCTGACGTTCATTTCTTCTCGGCTTGTGTTTATGATCTTGTCTTCTTCTTTGTGGATACATACTATCAAATAAAGTCTGAATCTTCCTTCCGAACATTGACTCAGTATCAG